ATTCATGATCCATATAATCATGTCTATTGAAAGCACCATAGTTCCATAGCTCCCCTTGACCCACCTGGCAAAGCTCTATCCCTGTTTAAATCCTGCTATGTACTTATTCTATAACTGTACCCAAACATCTGATGAAAAACCCATCAGGACGACTGATATCATTTAAACTAATGGTCATAAATCTCAAATATACTAAGCCCTCATCAGCAATCCTCCTTTGCTGCTCTAAAATGTTCCTTCCAAAATTACTTTCCATCACTTCTCAGACCTTCTTCCTGCTCTCTTCCAGACACTCCCTCAGCATCAGTATGATAAAGCATGTCCTATCTTAAAAAACAATCCTCTCTCTGGACTCCATAGCTTCCTTCAACTATTGCCTTGTTTCTCTTTTTCCCTTAAGTTTCTTTGCTTTCTTTCTCTCTTCATCCTATCCTCGGGATTGTTGCCCTCACCACTGTGATGCATCTGCTCTTACAAAGCTCACTAATAAATTTTATGTTGCCAAATCCAACGTCACTCTGTCATGTTTTGTTTGACCTCCCAGAAGTGACTGAGACCATAGATACAACTGACACTCCTTTCTCCATGACATTCTTTTCTAGGTTTTAGAGATACCTTGTTCTCTTGCATTTCCTCTTTCCTCACTGGCCACTCCTTTTTGATGTTCTCTGCTAGGTCCCCTCCTCTTTCTGAACTCTAAATGTTGGTGTGCCCATGGTTCAGTGCCCTTCTCACTCCCTATGACTCCCAAAGCAATCTCCCATGGTCATCTATAATTTCATATGACCCAAGCCCCAGCCTCTCTGCCAAACTCCAGACTGTTTACTTGACATCAAACCATTAGCAAGTTCAGCCAACTATACTTTCAAAGATCCTCCAAATTTGCCACATTCTCTCCATTTCCTTTGTTGCCACACCAATCCAAGCCACCATATTTACTTGTCTATCCTATTGCAGTGGCCACTGAACTGATCAGTAGGATTCCTCTCTTGCTTCCTTACAGCAGTCAGAATAATCCTTTAAAAACAAAATAGAACCACAGCCATTTTTCTCCTTACATTTCATTAGTGGATTTTTATCACATTCAGAATAAACTAGAAACTTGGCACAAAAACAGACACATAGACCAATGGAATAGAATAGAGAACCCAGAATTGGACCCACCGATGTATAGCCAACTAATCTTTGACAAAGCAGGAAAGAGTATCCAATGGAAAAACGACAGCTTCTTTAACAGATGGTGTTGGGAGAACTGGAGAGCAACATGCAAAAGAATGAAACTAGGTCATTTTCTCACACCATACACAAAAATAAACTCAAAATGGATAAAGGACCTGAATGTGAGACAGGAAACCATCAAAACCCCAGAGGAGAAAGCAGGAAACAACCTCCTTGACCTCCACCGCAGCAACTTCTTACTTGATACATCCCCAAACGTAAGGGAATCAAGAGTAAAATGAACGATTGGGACCTAATCAAGACAAAAAGCTTCTGCACGGCAAAGGAAACAATCCAGAAAACTAATAGGCAACGGACAGAATGGGAAAAGATAGTTGCAAATGACATATCAGATAAAGGGCTAGTATCCAAAATCTATAAGGAACTCACCAAACTCCACACTCGGAAAACAAACAATCCAGTGAAGAAATGGGCAGAAGACAGGGACAGACACTCCTCTAAAGAGAACATCCAGATGGCCAAGAGACACATGAAATGATGCTCAGCATCCCTCCTCATCAGGGAAATACAAATCAAAACCACACCGAGATACCACCTCACGCCGATCAGATGGCTAAAATGAACAAACCAGGAGACTTATAGATGCTGGCGAGGATGTGGAGAAATGGGCACCCTCCTACACTGTTGTTGGGAATGTAAAGTGATACAGTCCCTCTGGAAAAAAGTGTGGAGGTTCCTCAAAAAATTAACAATACAACTGCCCTTATGACCCAGCAATAGCACTGCTAGGAATTTACCCAGGGATACAGGAGTGCTGATGCATAGGGGCACAGGTACCCCAGTGTTCATAGCAGCACTCTCAACAATAGCCAAATCATAGAAACAGCCTAAATGTCCATCAGCTGATGAGTGGATCAAGAAGATGTGGTTTATCTATACAATGGAATACTATATGGCAATGAAAAAGAATGAAATCTAGCCATTTGTAGCAAGGTGGATAGAACTCAAGGGTTCTATGTTATGTGAAAGAAGTCAGGCAGAGGACAGATACCATATGTTTTCACTCATATGTGGAACAGGAGAAACTTAACAGAGGACCATGGGGAAAGGGAAGAGGAAAAAAATAGTTAAGGAGAGGGAGGGAGGCAAACCATAAGAGATTCTTCAATACTGAGAACAAACTGAGGGTTGATGGGGGTAGGGAGGGGGAAAGGGGTATGGGCATGGAGGAGGGCACTTGTTGGGATGAGCACTGGGTGTTATATGGAAACCAACTTGACAATAAACTATAAAAGAAAAAAAAACAAAAAAATTAAAAAAAAAACCAGAATAAAATAGAAACTACTTCTTCTGGCTCATAAAATTTAATAAGATCTGGCCCCAGATTGCTGTTGATCTCATGTCCTTCCCTACAAATCTGTAGCCCTACTGGCCCTGTTTCTGTTTCTGGAACATGCCATACTCACTCTTGCCTTTGGGTGTTGGTAGCGACTGTTCCCTTTCCTCTGATCTTTATATGGTTGGCAATTTCTTGTCATTAAGATCTGAGCTTAGAGGTTTGTAAATCTTAGGAAACCCAACTATAATAAATATGAGTTATTCAAGTTCTCAAACTTGCTGGGTATTTTCAACTGAATATAAACATGGGTAAGTTTTTTGTACTCCAAATACTGCTTCACTTTACTATTTTTTTTCTTGAAAATTATAAAATTCTTCTAGACTTTAAGTTTGCTTAATTAAATCGTCACTTATCATTGTGGTGGTAGCCACAAAGATTGAAAAAAAAAAAGTCTCCTAGAAATTGTGTCTACCAAAGCCTAGACTAGAACCACGTGAGACAATAGTGCTTTGCTGCCAGATCTTGCCATGTAACTGTGCACCAAGTGCCCTCGCTTTGTGAACAGGATCCCCCCACCTTGATGTAGATACAATCATACCCCGGTGAAGACAAGGAATATGCATCTGCATGCATGTATTCATGTGTTTAATAACAAAAGAATTAACTGTCTCAATTCTGCACAGTACTTTTCTCTACTCACTTCCATGTGTTCTTTTCTGGAAAAACACACAATCAGGGACCCTGTTCTCAACATTGCTTCTGAATTTTTTTCTTTTTTAAAATTTATTTTATTATTTTATTTATTTTTGAGAGAGAGAGTGAGTATGAGCAGGAGAGGGGCATAGAGAGAGAGAAAGAGCCAGAATTTGAAGCAGGCTCCAGGTTCTGAACTGCTAGCACAGAGCCCGATGCAGGGCTTGAACCCATGAACTGTGAGATCACGACCAGAGCTGAAGTTGGATGCTTAACCAACTGAGCTACCCAGGCACCCCTGAAATTCTTTTCCTTAAGCTTGTAAGTGCTTTTTAACAGGGATACATATTAAAGCCTGTTTATGCAATTGTGAAAATAGATTTGAAAATATGACTGGCTTCACAGATAATAAAATTGATGAAGAAATGATTCAGCAACAAGTGGTGTGGAGGCAGATGAGCTGTGAGGTGGGGGAATACTGGCACTGAGGACAGGGAAGTCACCCACTGGTCTTGGTGGGACATTTGGTCTCCCTGGCCTACTAAATGTTAATACAGTAAAGGCTGGTAGCAAACCGTCCCACCCACAGTTACTGTGCCAGTCACAAATGCTCACATTTCCAGTCACCCCCTGAAGTGCTTGAACATTAATGAATGGCACGGTCATTATCTTTGCTGCTTTATATTTTATAGCAAATGTATTTTCCATAAGAAATTTGCTAGAGACTATTCATACAGCACTTTCACCCACAATATTTTTTATGTTATGTTAATAGCCTTTTAGCTGAATGCCTTTGTGCCTTGCAAGCTAATTCTGGAACACATTAAATGTGTTAAGTGAGGGTAGATGTACAGGGATCTAAACCTGCTGAATGGAATTAGAAGGGTCCTTTGACAAGCACTTTGGAGACAAAGTGCTGCAGCAGTGTTCAACAATACAGCTACTGCTGCAGAGGCCATCGGCCCTTTCTGCTTCCTTATGAGAGGACAGGTGAAATTAGGGGATCCCTATGTTTTCCTTGAATTTAGGAGATCAAGTGAACAATTTCCCCAGCAAGCCTGGGAAGAAGTTATCCTAGGAGGATGCTCTGTTGCAGAAGGACATTGTGATAGATCCAGTGAGATAAATAGTTTCCCAAAGAGTTCCCAGTGATTCCTGCCTCCCTGTAGTCAGACCCTTTGGTAATAACCCTTCCCTTGAATATGGAACAAACCTAGTGACTTGCTTCTTGTGAATAAAATATTATGGGAAAAATGATGGAATTTCACTTCAGTATTCAGTGCAAAAGCTGTCACTTCTGGGGCACGTGGGTGGCTCAGTCAGTTAAGCGTCTGACTGGGGTCATGATCTCACAGTTTGTGAATCTGAGCGCCAACCGTGCAGAACCTGCTTGGGATTCTCTCTCTCTGTCCCTTCCCAGCTTGTTCTCTCTCTCTCTCTAAAAAAACAAAAAAAAACAAAAAACAACCCACAAACTTAAAAAAGAAAGACATCACTTCTGTCTTGCACTTTCTCTTTCTGGCTTTTCTCAGCTTGCTAGCTCTCGTAAGGCAAGGTGCCATGTTGGGAACTGGCCCTTTTTGGAATGGCTCATTTGGCACGGAATTGAAGGCAGCAAACAGCCATCAAGAAACGAAAGCCTTCAGTCCAACAACCCATGAGGAATCTACCAACAACCATATGAGTGAGTTAGAAATGGATCTCTCCTGCTTTCGCCTCAGTCTCGAGCTCTAGCTGGCAGCCAAGCGTAGGTGCTCCGGGATATTCTGTACCAGCGGCCACCATCGCCGTCGCTTGGGTTCCTCTGGACTCGTCTGCGCCACTCGCCCGCCACACTCCACCGGCATAAGCCGCCATCATGGTGAAGCTCGCAAAGGCTGGTAAAAATCAAAGTGACCCCAAGAAAATGGCTCCGCCCCCCAAGGAGGTAGAAGAAGACAGTGAAGGTGAAGAAACGTCAGAAGATGAAGATGATGATAGCAGTGGAGAAGAGGTTATCATTCCTCAGAAAAAAGGCAAGAAGGCTGCAGCAACTCCAGCAAAGAAGGTGATGGTTTCCCCAACAAAAAAGGTGGCAGTTGCCACACCAGCCAAGAAAGCAGTCGTCACCCCTGGCAAAAAGGCAGCANAATAAGGTATTATAGCTATGACTGAATTTGGGAACCATTGTTTCAAAGTCTTCATTTGTTTTTGTTTTTTTTTTCCTTTGTAGGTGAATCAAAAACTCTGGTTTTAAGCAACCTCTCCTACAATGCAACAGAAGAAACTCTTCAAGAAGTATTTGAGAAGGCAACTTTTATTAAAGTGCCCCAGAACCAAAATGGCAAATCTAAAGGGTAAGATAATTAGTATGTTTAGGATATTAATTATGGGCTTTAAGAATGCCTTGTGTATATCTAAAAAAAAAAAAGTCAAATTAGGTTTTCCTGGCTGTTACTGGAGGCTGAATCCTTTTCGCTCACAAATTGGGCATAAAGAGCATCATTTAAGTATCTCCTTGAGGTAAAAGTATCTCCTTGGTGGCATTAGATGGCAGCATAGCAACCATGTGCTTGGTAACTGACTCTAAATATTGTTTGTTTTCAGATATGCGTTTATAGAATTTGCTTCATTTGAAGATGCTAAAGAAGCTTTAAATTCCTGTAATAAAAGGGAAATTGAAGGCAGAGCAATCAGGCTGGAGTTGCAGGGACCCAGGGGATCACCTAACGCAAGAAGCCGTAAGTTACGTTTAACAAGGTGTTGAGGGTCGGCACTCCTGAGTGCTATGCCACATTACTTCTTTGGTCCAGTTTAGAGATGAAAGTTTGTTTTCCTGTTGCTGCTGAGTGAAGGATCCTGGATATGATGATTGATTATCTGAGAACATAACTGATGAAATCTCAAGAAAATTCCTCTAGATAGTCAAGTTCTGATCCAGCGAGGTCTCCTAGCAGCACATTTGTCCCTGGTTACTGCCCTGTGTGATGATTGTAACAGCTGCCTGCTTGTTTAGGGATTGCGGTCTTATTTGCGTTGCAAAGCAGGAGACGGGCTCTCTGTTGCTCTGGTCACCAGTGTAAACTAAGATGATTGATCTATGCCTTTTCCTTTAATGGGCACTAGTTTGCTACATTACTTTTATGTGCCTTTCTTCCGGAGATATTTAAGTGAAAGGCTAACATCTGCTAGGCCAAGCATTCTCCAAAAGTAGTCTCATACTGGATGTTGGTAAAAGCTACCATCGGTGGTTGTTATTATGGCTTTAGGTAAAATGTGCAATCTTTCTTCCATAGAGCCGTCCAAGACTTTGTTTGTCAAAGGTCTGTCTGAGGATACCACAGAAGAGACATTAAAGGAGTCGTTTGATGGCTCTGTTCGGGCAAGGATAGTCACTGACCGGGAGACTGGGTCCTCCAAAGGGTAAGATGAAAGGAAATGCTCGTCCATGCAGCGGAGACCTCCTTTCTAGTGTATCTTCTCATTGAGCTCCTTTCTGTCGATTGGTGGCAGTTTATGGATTCGCACGAGAAGAAGAGACAATTCACAGTTAGCATTATTTTATCTTCTGTTTTCACAGAGGTATATTCTGCTGATGTGTGAGACATTGCTGAGGGTCGATAAAATGAGTTTCAGCCTTCCATAGGGAGCTCCTCCGTCCCTTGGGTCTTTCCTCAGCGAAGCACATCTGCTTCTGTGGAGTCCCTGTCTGACGTGTGAGGTTTATCTTGCCGCTTGGAGTATGTGTTCTGTAATGGGGAATTTCATTTCGCCTCTTCCAGGTTCGGTTTTGTAGACTTCAACAGTGAGGAAGATGCCAAAGCCGCCAAGGAGGCCATGGAGGATGGTGAAATTGACGGAAACAAAGTTACTTTGGACTGGGCCAAGCCGAAGGGTGAAGGTGGCTTTGGAGGTCGCGGTGGAGGCAGAGGTGGCTTTGGAGGCCGAGGTGGCGGCAGAGGAGGCCGAGGGGGATTTGGTGGCAGAGGCCGAGGAGGCTTTGGAGGGCGAGGAGGCTTCCGAGGCGGCAGAGGAGGAGGGGGAGACCACAAGCCACAAGGAAAGAAGACGAAGTTTGAATAGTTTCTTCCATCCCTCTGTCTTTTCCCTCTTCTGTTTGAAAGAAAAGGACTCTGGGGTTTTTACTCTGTTACCTGATCAATGACAGAGCCTTCTGAGGACATTCCAAGACAGTATACAGTCCTGTGGTCTACTTGGAAGTTCGTATAGATAACATTTCGAAGGAGATACCCTGTTGGTTTTGACTGGATATTCATATAAACTTTTTAAAGAGATGAGTGATAGAGCTAATCCTTATCTGTAAGTTTTGAATTTATATTGTTTCTTCCCATGTACAAAACCATTTTTTTCCTACAAAAAAAAAAAAAAAAAAAGAAATGGATCCCTCCCTAGCTAACACCAAGATTACAACCTGTGAGGAGCCCTGCGGCAGAAGACCCAACTAAAGCGTACCTGGACTCCTGACTCTCAGAAACTGTGAGAGAATACACATTTGTTGTTTTAAGTACTATGAAGTACCCACCTGTGGTATGACTCATGCTTCACAGTCTTCCAGAATGAAAAGTACTCACATCTGTATATCTGAATAAGGAGACATTGCAAAGTACAATAGCTCCCTACACATCTCTAGCAGGAAAAAAAAACCCCCAACAATCACAAAGCATTACTGCTAGGATGGCAGAAAAGAAAGAACATCTACAGGCGCAGGTTGTGTATTCAGATCATCAATTCTACAAATTTGAGCAAATTATATAACTTCTCTGAGATTCGGTTTCTTCACGATGGGATTGGGGTAGCAGTAAGAACTGCTAGCAATCTGGGACACTGTGCTTTGAGGAGGAACTCGGGTGGGCCCTACCCCGAAGTCTCTTTCTCTTCAGATGGAAATGGCATCACTAGGAATTTGTTCCTTAATGCTTCTAGGGACTGTCCCTGAAATTGTTACCTAAGGAGAGGTAACGTGAGAAAGAGAGGAAATTCTATAGATACCTCTAAGAATAGTGCAGCAAGGTGGGGCCTTGGATTGCTGTGAAGCAGTTGAAGGGTAATGGTGGCAGCCACAGAGATAAGTGTGGTTGATTTCACGATTTTGAAGACCTAGTAGACTTCCTCCTTTCTAGTATATGTGACCTACACAATCAATCACATTTCCCCTCTCACCATGAGTGCAAGGAAGCTACAGCAATCTCACATTCAGTCAGAGCCACTGTATTCAATTTTATGGTTCCCATATTTGTATTCTTTTTCTGTCCTGATTCATCTACTTCCAGTTTATACATGTCCTTTGTTGCAGGCCCAGATCCTTTACAAAAAAGATTGGAGGCACAAATGAATATAAAAAACACAAAAATACATATTTGACCTTTCCTCCTCTAAGTGTGTTGATATGAACAAACACGGCAAATCTGGACATACTCTTCTATCTTGATTGTTAATTTTCTCTTCTTTTTTTACATTTTTTTTTTTTATATTTGGGAGACAGAGCACAAGTGGGGAAGGGCCAGAGAGATAGGGAGCAGAATCTGAAGAAGGCCCTAGGCTCTGAGCTGTCAGCACAAAGCCAGATTCGGGGTTTGAACTCGTAAACCATGAGATCATGATCTGAGCCTAAGACAGACGCCTAACCAACTGAGCCACTCAGGTGTCCCTTGATTGTTAACTTTCAAAATTTAAGGTTAATTTGGCTTTGGTGGCCACAGTGATTTAAATTAGCAGAATAATTGGTGCAATTAGCATAAGTTGGAAGAATTAAAGACAAACACAGATTGCAACAATATTTGTACCGTTTTTATTTGTAAAAATAACCATCTGAATGCATTTCCATAGTATATTACAGTTAAGTACTTCATTACATTATTAGCATTCAGTAGTTGAAAAAGTATTAAACTGTGCTTGAAAAGATTCAGATTGGTTCAAAGTCATTCACTGAACTAAAAGTCATTTTCCTCATTTTTACAGTCATGACATTTACCAGAGTCCTTCAACTCCAATTTACATAAGAAAACATTACAGACAAAATCCCACTGAAATCATCAAACAGTATTTTATGCGATTACAAATATGTTATGCAAAATATAACACTGGCACCAGATTTGTATCATCGTGCTTTGCAAAGATATATTGCACATGCTAAAGCATAAAATATATAGACAAAACTACCGAACAAAAGATATTTGCATTGAATTTTTAGATCACTGCATAAGAAACGCATAAAATTACATTTTTACACACACTCAGATTGTCACTATCTTCAAACGCTTTTCCCCTAGAACACTGACCTATGGTTTACAGTTTTGTAAGAAGAAAGCATTTTAGCACTGCAAAATTCAACGTGGTTCCTATAGAAAACTTCGGCATTTTCATTTCAAAGCAGGTAAAGGGGAAATAGGAAAAAAGACACTTTATACATTCAAAGAAAGGCTGAAATGGAAACTCACTGGTATCATATTGCTCTGATAACACTCAAACGAAAAAAATACAAAACATTTCACAGACCATTTTCAGAATATACAAATATAAAAAGGCACTCTAACTTCATATTACGAGACAAAAAAGGGGTGAGTTCTTCAACCAACGCAACAGATAAGCAAACCAAGTTGCTCAACAGTACAGAGAATAACGAGTGCAGCAAATCCATTTGATGTTCTTGTTCTAATTCAATAATAAAATAAAAACTCAAGCAGCTGTTTACTGCCTAAAGTACCAAAACATACTATGGTGCCCTTTTCGTAGTGATAAATAGAAATCCCCTGAGCTTTTTACTGTAGAATCAGAGCAGATTTTAGGCAATTCGGGATAGTAATGTATTTACCAAGGACAGGCAGACACGGCGAATAGGTAAGTGCAATGAAACATGATCCCTGTGGCTGTGGTTAAAATACAGTCCAAAAGTAACACATTTAGGTAAAAGCACTAACAGCCAAGACTCAGTTAAAAGCACAATGGTTTTTTTTTCTTAGAAAGCTATGCTGCAAATCTAGTTTTCTTTCTATGAGATGTACTTAAAACACACAGAACTCATAGTTTTAAAAGTCATTTCCTAAAGAAAAAAAATTGGTCTTGGGGAATGGAGAAATAGAGTGCGAGGGAGATCTGATTCAATGAACAATTCAGAGCGTGCATGATTTCATTTGGTTCCTTTGTCCTCCTTTCTATCAGTGAGAGAGGGGAAGAGCCAAAATGCAGCTACATGGAGAGGAATGGCCGGGGCCGGCACTGCTTTGCTGGAACCCTCCTTGTCTCTAGGCTACTCTGCAGGAAAAATGTGAACGCTGCTTCACCATTAAAAGCAGGTATTTCCTTTCCTGCTTTAAACGCCAATGGAGCAAGATTTCCATTCACTTCTAGAAAAGACACCACAGTATATCCTGCCTTTTTTAGCATTGGATCTCCCTTACTTTCAGTGTTTTGGTAAAGATAAGGTCATTATTGCTCATTAGCAATTTACCTACTTTTAAAAAATTCATCTTTCCTAAACAAACAAAAAGGACAGAGGAAGGAGGGAACACAACACCAAGAATTTGAAAAACAGTGAGGGTGGGGTTGAAAATTTTCAGCTGAATTAATACCAATTCTAGAAGTCCTTTGAACAAGTTCTCATTTGTGAAGAACCCAACGTGAGTTTTTAATTGAATCCAGGATATTAAAAGAGTAAGAGTAAAGCCTTTTACAGTTAGATGAAAAATATAATACAGTATGTATATTTGATCCAGATATGACAGAACACTGTTTTAAAAATACCTCACATACACTATAAAAGAGAAATTCCCAGGCTGAAATGGAACTGATGATAAAATGTCAGAGTCCCGTCCTAATGCAACACATTTCTCTTCTGTTTCTTCCTTGGAAAATAGCTCTTGAGCTGGTGATTTGAATGTCTTCTCTTGGTACATAGACTCACACACTGCTATCATTGGCCATTCCGCTTTTGGGACCACGTGAGATTTTCAGCGTGTTCACAATAGCTTGTGCATCTTTCTTTGGGCCACCTTTGTGCATTTGATCCACCACCCACCTCAGTTTTCATCTCGCAGAAGAGCTTTAAGGACGGCAGTGTCTCCTAGGCTCTTGAGGCTGGTACAGATTGGGGCTGAGCACTGGATGTCACACCCCACTCCAACCGAAGTGTAAGAACCTGAGGGTCGGCTGGAAACCTTAGCAGGCGAAATGCTGGGCTTGGCCCCACCACTGCTGGCTAGCCCAGGGAGGGTCCAGAGGGTTTTTCTGCTTTTTGTTATTCTAAGTCACACACATAGCAATTAAAACAGAGAACAATGGATGTTCCTCGACATTTGTTTCATTTCAAATAAATACAAATACATTTACATCAAAAGTATATGAACCTTTTCTCTAGTTTGGCAAAAAAAAAAAAAAAAAAATAAGCCTTGGTCAACGCATCCTCAGTTACAAATGTTAAGCCACCAACTAGAAATCTGTGTCATAAGAAATATAAAATACGACAAAGACTGTTACACAAAAAGATTACATTTGAACTCCATAGAAAAGCTACTTCAGTTCTCATTTCCCCTTTGAAGGAAAACAATTAAATTCTTCCACTTTAGACTGAAGCATTTTGGTCCTCCCGTATAGCTGGTTGATGAATTACAGACATATATATACACATATATATATATATATATATACATATATGTGTGCGTGTGTGTGTGCATAATGTTTAAAGAGTCTCATTCTTCTTTTTGTACGGCTATTCCAGGTGCAGAACGGGGTCCATTTGACCTAGAAGCTTTGGCAGAGGGAGCAGACACAGTATTCACTATGTTGATTTGATCATCAAGTAACTACCAATTGGCTTTAATTTCCAAATCACCCATTTCTACCTTCTGCTTTCACCTTCTTTGTTTCCTTTTGCAGTCACACGTCCACTCACTTGGCATGACCTTGACTGAGAAGCTCATTTAACATTTTACTATTGATAAACAACTTCGATGGTTCTGATGTTTTTTAAAAAGTTAGCATTCTGACTTAAGGATGAGTTAACAAATAAATAAGGGGTAGTTTTGTATTAAATTTGCATATGTCTCAAAGTTTTGGTGCAATACAACTTTTCACCTGAACTTTTATTAGATAGATAGATTGGATTCAATCAGTCGGGTGAAAACTAGTCACGGACTTGTTACAGGGAGTATTCGGTGCCATATTTGTGTTAAATGAAAAAAGCAACTTCAATTTTCAGTGAGTTTTTCCATTCATCTGGCAACTTTAACAAAATTCTTGGAAAGAAGTCCTGGATATTTAAGTGCATATTATAGAGAGGATATATGAATAATCGGACTCCCTTAAGATTGTTACAGGCATCATTTCTGAAGATGAACACCTTTACCTTTGGCTTCTAGTAAGGAAGTAAACATCAAAGTGAGAAGAGATTTGAGGCAATTCCTACCCACACCTTCCCTCCTCTTTTGGGGGACATGAATGTCTCACTGATATATTTCTTAGAACTCACTGCTGGGTGAGTATATGAAAAAAAATTCTTTATAGAGAACCGCTCCCTCTCAATTGCATTATGCCAAAAGAAAAAGAATTATATGCATTTTGTACTTCTTATTTAAAATGAGAGGTAGACTTTCACAGAAATATTTTAGATCTAAGGAAAACATAAAAGCAAATAAAAGTTGGGGCACATCTGTGTGAGTGCTTTGTCCTACAGTCTAGCTGCCCTCTCTGGCTTTGATTAATTCCTTCTCTACAGGCTTCTGGAAGCCCAGGCCCACAATAATACTTGAACACAATATATAAACCTGGAAGTCAAGTTTCTTTCCCTTCTTCCAATATGGGTGATGAGGGAAAAGCTTCTATAGTCCAAAGTCAAAACGTTTCTGAATCAGAATCATTTTCATTGTACCCGTCCTCTGAGCCTACGTTGTTACTGCACAGGCTAACCATGCTACCCAGATTGGAGAGGGTCGTCCTGCTCAAATTGTCTTTTTTAAAACAAACGAAGTTGACAGCCGTCATTGTACTGGAAGGAGAAAAAGGCATCATGGTAGCCAAAATGAGGGCCAGGCAGTCAGCCACGTCTTTGTTAGGAGCGCAAGCCAGGGCCGGGGTATGACCTGGGCGTAAATGCAGACAAGGCAGTGGTTAGTCCAGGAAATCCAAAGGTGCTGTGAGCATTCCACAGTACATCTCAAACGACCTCACACGCGGAGATGTATGTTGAGTTAGAAATCATGCCAGGCAAAAAGAGGAATTACTTCCCACGAGTCATGCTAGGGGTGAGGCTAGAGGGAACTGGAAGGGGGAGACATTTCATGAAGGATTTTGGGGTTTGTTTTTGTTTTTTCAGTTTACATGACAGCAAGCACTATGTTATCCAAAGTTAGGCAGAATTCTAGTCTTCATCTAGTGAACAGAAACACAAGGGGGCAGGGATGGGACACAATTCCACACACAAATAAAACAGCAACAGGACAGCCACAAAGGTGTTTCCACTTGAGAGCACATGCCACCATGCGCCTCAGGCCTGGGCCGGGGCACTCTCATTCTGAGAACAATGACTTTCCATTGTAGGTAATCGTGTGTCAGGTTAGGAGAGAAACTGAAAATCAGATGTCCGTAAAAGTGACTACTGCAGTTTGGTTGCTTTGTATATATTTATATAAAGTCTATACCAATTAACTAGTTCCAGGAAAATGGAATCATTTGAGCGGATCAGACACAGGAAAGCACTGGTCATTTGTGATTTGAAATTTACTATTGATCAGGGGAAATCTGATAGAATTTTAAAAAACAGCAACACCACCAACCAAAGTCCCAAATCCCAATTGTGGAAAAATGGCCGTCAAGCCATGTCATTTTCTACCATTTAGACTTGATGGGTCCTATCCAGAAGAGAAAACTACCTCAACACGTGCAGCAAGTGCATGGGGAAGTAGACCAATTCTTTGATTCAATTACTACCCCTGCCCACCCTTCATTCTACTGACTTGGAAGGGCTAGCCTCTCTCTGTTGGTGAAGTTCCTATCACCTCTCCCTCATTCATTCAGAGGAACTGGCTCAACAAAACGCAACCTTTTTTTGTTTTATCAACACTTGACCTAATTTCTGCCCCTCTTCTCCCTCCCCCAACAGGTTATTCCTCTCTCTAGTATGAAAACAAATAAGAATAGACAGGTATGATTTATGATTGTAGTGCTGTCCAAAACTGCCCCAAATTGTTCCCAGGCCTTTGCGATACAGCTGAGCTCTGAGAAAAGCCTCGGTTCCACTGACCCAGGGCTCTCATTCCCAAGGTTACCATTGGCAGGACAAGCCTCAGATGCAGCAGGCTTATCCTGGAGAATGGCAAAACCAATTTATTTTGGTCTCTTTGGGTCACTTTGGAGAAAAACTGCATGCCGACCCTAAGATACATAATAAGAGGGTGAGGGAAAGGGGGTGGGACAGCCAAGGAGATGGAGTTATAGAAAACTTTCTGTGCCTCCTAGATGAGTCAGGTTGGGGACAGAGAGGGGTACATGCTAGGATAAATGGGGCTGCAAAACAAAAACTAATAAGAATTAGCTAGTGACGTCATATGGCTAATGCTTACTTCTGAGAAATAGGCATGGGCTGCTAGTTCCAATACCTGTAATAAGCAGTTAATTGAGTTACATTCATTATAATACTTTATAAATAAAGATGCCACAATTAATGCCACATTAAAAATTACATCATTCATAAATATCCAGAAGTTCGTCTTTTGCTCCCCCTGGCTAATAGGCATTGTGCTTAAAATGGCAGCTTAACACAAATCTGGTATTCATTAGGTTTCCAAATTTCTTAGGAAGCAGAATAGAAAGCTTCTGCTAAGAGTTAATTCATTTAGAAAAGGAATGTTACATAGATCAGGAGAAGCTTTCAAGCCAAGAAATGAATTAAAACACTATACCCCAAATATCCATACTGAGGATACGGGTTTTGATCTGTTCCTTAAAAAGAAAAAAAAAAGTCTGATCTCAGAATGAACTGAAATACAAAGACCTGGGTTTTCCTTTGAGCCCCTGAGCATGCACTAATGATATGTGTAGTCTCTAACTCTTTAGCGTATGCAGTTAGAAGTTTTAATGCCTATTTGAAAGCTTTTCAGTGTGTCTAAAATGGTTTAACCACCACGCTGAGGAGTCAGAGACCAGCTGCTGGTATGACATGCAAAATGGAAGGCACTGGTGGGCTACAGGTAGACGATGTGTTTTACAGACAGACAGGACAAATTATCCTTGTTTGATTTCTCACACACAGAAACTTCTAAGAGGTAGAGAATTCTTACTGCCTTTTTAATGAACTCCTATCTTTCTCATTTTCCTCTGGCTTCACAGCGTAGGGGAGGTACCTGTGGTGATTGCTTACTTTTTCCACTTACCGTTTTCATCTACAGCAAGTACACAGGCCCCTTTGGCCAACAACTCCTCAACTACCACCTTCAAGCCATTTCGTGCAGCAACGTGGAGGGGTCTGAAAAAAGACAGCACCTAACATCACCCATGATGCATATTTGTACGAGAATGTGTCATTTGGGGTAGCTGCATTGTGAAAAGGAAAAAAATACTTAAGAAGCTATAAATAGTACATGAATATTTTTACTTTTTTAAATAAAAGTATTCGCTGACTAATTCTATTCCAGTTACTAATGATCCAATTGTTCTTCCATGTTGTCCAGATTTCTCTGCAGATATTACAAATATTCTGCATCTTAAACAACCCTAATGACAGTAGATAGAAAGTCAGAAAAAGAACGCAAGCTCTGGCATGTTAGAAGGTTTTTACCCCTTGCCTTCTACTCTAGCATTTGAATGACTGTTTCACACTGTCCATCAACATGATTGGTATTAATATCATCCATATATATTAATCTCGAATCTCTTCGTTATTAGTAGATGCATTAAACAATATTTTGTTGAATTGGGAATACCTTAATGAATAATGTCAAACCCAGTATATTCATCTCTGCTATATACTTCTTAAGAAACTTAATGGAAAAAAATTTCTCATACTCTTTTTTCCCTAAAATGCAGAAGTAATTTCCTAAAATGGGAAATGAATCAGCCTTCAAGCCTTTCACACTGAGGAGTACACTGAATTATATTAAAATATAATTAAACCGAATTGCTTAGAAACTCTTCAAATGTATGCTGGGAACCTGATTTATAAAACTGTCATTTTCCAGTAAGAATACATAATGTTAGTGCATTTTATTATAAAATTCTCTGAAGGCTTCTCAAAATAAAGATTCTAACTAAAAATGTCTGGCTTGATCAGCAGTTGTAGGTATGTGACTGTCAGCTTCCTGAAGGAGAAGCCAGGTCTATATCTTTCGCCACCGTGTTCCCCAGTGCTAGACTGGCACATAGCACACTCTTAGTATCCATTGAATAAACGACTACGTAGTGATGATGAATAAATGACAATGTCCAAATCCAACTGTAGTAGTCACACTTACGTCTGCAGTGCGTTATTTTTTGCATTAATAAGGCTCTCGTCCTGTATCTTGTCAAGTATTAACAAGGCACATTTTTCATGACCCTAATAAGGAAAAAAAGAAAATAAGAAACACAAGACAGAAACACAGAAAACTTCCTGCAAAGTTACTTGATTTTGCTTTAAATTTAAAATGAATGTCCTCTGCCTAAAAGCATTTTATTAAGGCTATGTTCTGAGTAATTCCTTTTTTTTTCTAAAAAGCAAATGGTTAAAGGACCCTAGATTCTCACAGATTCTGGAAAAGGTCTATTAGGACTTGATTAATCGAAGTCTGATCTAAATATTAATACTTCTAACGTAACTGAAGAATTAATGTTTAGAGAGCTGAAGGAGACGCTAGTTCAGCAAGGTCAGCTGGTAAACATGAGGAACATTCTTTAAGTCTGTCAATGTTGCTTTAAAAAAAAAAAAAAAGTCAAGTCCCATCTCCTTCCTCAAGCCCTCAGTGACCATGTCAGTGATCCATCTACTCCTGAAATTTCCATCACATCTATTATCAGTATCACTTATCATTATGTGACACCTTATGTTGGGAAGGGTCTCTTTCAGGGAAGCTCATCCTTTTCCTTCTCAACCAGGGGAAGATATCTTTATACCTTGTAAGAGATGGTTGATAATTTTTAAAAATCAGTTGATAAGTCAGAGACCCTTTCATCCTTTCAAGGCCTATGCCTTGTTAAGAGGTCATAGTTTCCTAAACCCTTGCTATTCTAAGTGTGTCCCAAAGACCAGTAACATCAGCTTAACGTGGGAGTTAGAAATGTTGCATCTCAGGCCTCACTTCAGACCTGCATTTTTTTAAAACACCTATGTATTTTTGACAGAGAGACAGAGAGAGAGAATGAGCTGGGGTGGGGCAGAGACAGAGAGGGGGAGAGAGAGAATCCCAAGAAGGCTCTGCACTGTCAGCGCAGAGCCCAATGCGGAGCTTGTCTCCCAAAACGTGACCTGCATTTTAACAAGATCCTCTAGTGATTCATTTGCACAATAAAGTTTGAAGATCACTGTACTTCTATTCATGAAAACGCTACACACTGAAATAAACTTCGTGAAACTATGGTTTTTTATGGTTGCCATGGGCTTTCCAGAGCATGAAGTGAGAAAATGCAATCACTGAAATGAAAAACCAAGTCTTCTGGTACCAATGGGTATAGACAACACCTTTAAAACTGTCACTATATTGAAATAAACCACCATCACTGGTGTCAGTTGGCATCACACTATAAAGCCTTATAAGAGAGCCCCTGAAATGCAATTTCAGAAGTGTCTCTGGAGTTTTCATTCTGATGTACTGCTGGGATAGTGTAAATGGCTGTGATCTTTTTAGAGGCCCATCTGGGCTTAAAAATGTTCATAGCCTTAGGCTTAATAAGTTCACATTTGGAATACATCTTAAAGGAATGAGTAAGAATTCTTTTAAAAAATTTCTCTCGGGGCACCTGGGTGGCTCAGTCAGTTAAACGTCCAGCTTCGGTCCAGGTCATGATCTCACTGTTCCGTGGGTTTGAGCCCCAACTCGGGCTCTGTGCTGACTGCCAGCTCAGAGCCTGGAGCCTGTTTCTGATTCTCTGTCTCCCTCTCTCTCTGACCCTCCCCTGCTCACGCTCTCTCTCTCTCTCTCTCTCTCAGAAATAAATAAAACATTAAAAAAAATTTTCTCTCAATGACATCTATAGTAGCGCATTTTAGAAAACAAGCAAATGTCTAACAGTTGGGGATGGGTTGAATAAAGGATGGCACATTCCTAAGGTAGAATACCACGCATCTTCTAAATCACTACAAAAATTTCATATCTAAAAGAAAGATATTCGTTAAGAGATGATTCAGTAACAAAAGCAGGTTTTAAAATAGTATGATCTCCCTTTTGTAACATTGTATATTTATTTATATATCGTTTATCTTTTACAGAAGCAGGAATCTTGAGCTACATGTGAACATAATACTATTAATAAAAACAAAAAACTCGAACACATTCCTTGCTCTGAACTATGCAACAGAAAAAAGGGCAAAGGGGAGAAATGCACACGAATGCACTAACTTGCCTCATAGGAGAGTATTAGGCTGTGTTATTACAATGCTTTCAAATGGAACAAAATGAAAATAAGTGGACCTTGTTATACTTCAGAAGCCATGTAACCATGGTCCCAGCCTATGTTTAAAAGCAAAATGACATAGTACTAGAACCACAGAGACAGACACAGTCCAGCATGAAGACAGGCAACGTAAGAATGCAAGGTCAACATTCCATGAAAGTCATATCCTCATCAATCCCTATGTGGGTCTGCTCTTAGCGTCTTCCCCTTCCATTCTGCTTACAGTTGACAACACCCTGGGGACATGTACATCTTAACTAAAAGACATGATACACACTTCTGAGATAGCTAGTATTCCAGTGGTATTATTATTATTATTACAACGCTAAGTAACACTGTTTCAAATTCATTTACATACTTTGCTACTAGCCAAATGTAAGGATGTGTTCAAGTCTTTATCCTTTACAGTCAGATCAGCCTGGGCAATGTTCACCAAGATATCTATGGAAAAAGCCAAGAGAGAATTACTCAGACTACATGCCAATTATAATCACACATTCAAATTAGTATGGTCACATAATCATATTTAATGCTTTTAAAGAAAAAAATGGAAAAATTTATTGCCATACTTGGTCTCTCCAAACCCAAGGTCTATAGGCAGTAAGTTTAACTGTCTGTACATAGTTTTGTTATTTCCAAGTAAAATAAACCCGTTGCTATATTTTGTCTCTAAATGATGAGATTTTTTCACTGCAGAGATGGGTTCACTTTGAAAAGGTCCACCAAGAATCAAATAACAGAGGACTGAAGACGATTAGCAAGCAGGGTCAAATGGCTTAAATAAAATGTTCGCCTTTTTTACACGCATATACCAAGAGAATAACTGATTTCTTGGTTTCATGCGACTCCGGTTCTGGTTGGGCATGGATGTGAAGCGCGCCAGTCCGCACATACCCACAGCGCCCGCCTGCCCGTTCTCAGCAGCCATCATCAGTGCTGTTTTCCCTGAATGGTCAGCTGCGTTCACCTCGGCGCTGTGTCTCAGAAGCAGCTGCAAGCACTCCACGTGATCCGCAAATGCCGCCGCATGAAGTGGTGTCCTAGTGATTTAAAACACACATGATGTAGTTCCTTTTAATTTTTTTTTTTTTACCTTTTATTCATTTTTGAGAGAGAGAGAGAGAGAGAGAGCGCGGATGAGCAGGGGAGGGGCAGAGAGAGAGGGAGACACAGAATGGGAAGCAGGCTCCAGGCTCCAATCTGTCAGCACAGAGCCCGATGAGGGGCTCTAACTCACAAATCGTGAGATCATGACCTGAGCCAAAGTCAGATGCTTAACTAACTGAGCCACTCAGGCGCCCCAATTTTAGTTTCCTTTAACCTTAACACACTCTATTTCTGTATATGCCGGAGAAACATGTGCACAGTGTCACCTTAGGGATTTAAAACTTCTCAGTTTACAGAGATAACATTCAGGGCCTCTCCAAAGTCCATTCAGGGTGGACACTGAACAGTCACCTATGTGAATGGCACCCCCTAGATTTAGAGTGACCCCTAGATTTTAGTGGTGACCTCGATAATAAAATTAGCATCTTCATCGACCCTTTGATGTTGAGGTCCAGTCACTTTGTTCTTATCTTTGATAAAGATACTTTCAAAATTAGGCCTTAAATTTGAAGATAATTGGCTATATAAATAATAAAAAAGCCCATATTATCTAATGTGGATAGTTGATTTCTCTAGGAGCACAATTTGGCATCATTTGTAAAAATTAAAAACCATTGACCTTCTGGCCAAGTAAGTCTATGTTTAAAATGGTATCTCTTAGATGTACTTGGTCATGTGAATACACACATATACGAGACTGCTCACTGTACCACTCTGCAAAACAGAAAAATATTGGGAACAACTTAAATGTTCTTCAGTAAAAGACAGGTTGATTAAGTGACTATATCCACTCAATGAAGTAATATGTGGCTTTAAAAAGAATATGGTAGGGATACCTGGGTGGCTCAGTCGGTTGAGCGACCGACTTCAGCTCAGGTCATGATTTCACATTTTGTGGGTTCGAACTCCACATCGGGCTCTGTGCTGGCAGCTCAGAGCCTAGAGCTTGCTTCATATTCTGTGTCTTCCTCTTTCTCTGCCCCTCCCCCTGCTTGCAGACTGCTTTTCTCTCTCTCTCTCTCAAAAATAAATAAACATTAAAAAATTTTTAAAAAATAAAAAAGAATATGGTAAATCCATATGTTCTGGTATGAAAAGATCTCCAAGATACCCTAAAAGCAGAGCACTGCAATAGAATTCTCCCATTTGCATAAAAAGAACATAAATATATATATACATATTTACATATGTTTGTAGTTATATATAGAAAATACTTGGGAGAATGTAAAAATTTGAAAAGAACAGTTTAAGGTGATGGAAGAAGCTGGGGCTTCCGGGCTAAGAGAGGAATTTCTTCAATTATATACTCTTTATTATATTTAATTTTTAAAAATGATGCTTTTATATTATTTTTTGTGGTTTTTATGGTTTGTTCTTTTTTCTTTTTTTCCTTTTTTTTTTTTTTTTTTTAGAAAAAGTGTGTGCGTGGGGACAAGGGGTAGAGGGAAAGAGAGAGAGAGACAGGGAGGAGAATCCCAAGTAGGCTCCACACTCAGCACTGAGTCTGATGCGGGGCTCAATCCCATGATCCTGGGATCATGACCTGAGCCAAAATCAAGAGTCATATGCTCAACCAGGAACCCCTATATTACTTTTTAAATTAAAAAAAAAAAATGTTTGGGTACTTTGCAACCACAAAGCAGAGACTACTATCGATCAAGACAAGAGGCATGCCATCTCAGGACCACTTACCTGCCTTTGTCATCTCTGCAGTTGACAATACTGGAATCTATGGCTCCAAGTAGCAATGATGCACAATTCTCATGATCATTTATTCTAAAATGAAAATAAATTTTACATTTTAAAATATCGCTCTTTAAAAAATTACATATTTCCTCCTACTCCATCTTCCTATGCACTATTTAACTACCTGACAGATTTAAAAAAAATCTGATGTAAATATCTGTGGTTTATGGTCTGTTCAAATGATTGCAGAAGTCAATTGAGGTCACACAAATAAACTTTAATACTTCATGAAGCAGGCAGTGTTCATTCTCAAGAGTTTGGAGAACTGCTTACTTCAGGAAGCGTTAAATAAGATTTATGCCACCTAAATTGTCTTCTTTAATCATTTTAACAGGTGATGAGGGTGGGATTTGAAGCTGACTATTAACAGCCTGCAAGAGGAAAGACAGGCAAGGCACCTGCCTAACGCTGAGTTCACTGTCCTCTGGTTACCAAGGGCTGAGGGTGAGTCACTCTTGGATTTGAGGTCTGCTCCCTCATCTGCAACTGTCCAAGTCAAACATACTTTATCCAAAACCTTTTAAGGTACAAGAGTTTATTAAAGTTCCCAGAGAAGTTCTACGATTCAGGAAATGCTCAGGGACGGGTAGATGACAGCAACTGTGGGACTAACAGGGACCATGAAGTAAGTCTACAGCATAAACCACTGGTAGACTTGGGGAAATAAATTAAGAGTCTGCACAAATACAGACTGTTTTGACCAATGGCACATCAAAATCTAAGTAGACACAAGTCGGACTATTAAAAGCCCTCAGGGCATCCACCACCGTATATAACGGTTGTGAAGAGTAATAGATCTTTTGTTAATGCGAGTCTCAGAAGCCAAAGCCACAAAATTGATGGGCACAGATTGAGCACTTAAAAGCTGTTAGAGTGCTCACCACATAAACCTAAGACTCTTGTGATAAGTTGGTCATGGAACAGGTTAGATTCATACTAGGTCACCCAACAGCTTCAAGAAAATTTCCATGCAACAAGCGACACCGTAAAACACCACACAAACTCCAAACTCAAGGGCACATCTCTCTTAGGTATGAATTTGGTTCCAAGAGACTCTAGGCTTAGCTAAAGAAAGAGATCCTCAAGTGTCAAAGAACTGAGCACTCTGCCTTCCAGCACAGTTGCTTTTTTTATGTCTAAGAAGTGCGGTCCCAGATGCAATAGGTACCTACAAAAATGGCAAACTCTTACTGAGACAACTCAAGATTGAACGGCCTTCATGGGGAATGTTCCAATTAGAGAAGATTGTTCCTTCCAGAAGTGCACTTGAAAGCAAGGGTTCCCAAACCAACAAAGAGAATGGGATACCTATTTTAAGTGGTTTGCAGAAGCTTCCAAAAGATTTCAAGATTCCAAGATAGCTTAATTGCAAAAAGTTAATGAAAAATTAGACACAAGAGCTACCTAAAACAAAGACTGTAAGACTGATATGACTGCTACTACTGCCCTCTATCCTCCTTTACCTGAGTACTCACAGTCTACTAATTCTCTTCTGAATTGCCTTTCTACTGTGAAGATCATAAACAAGTCTTTTCAGAGTTAATGGTCCTATAGCTCCTACTGCTCTAAGGCCAGAAACTTAAATTAACACCTGGGTGTCCCTCAGTGCACCATCATCAAAACACTGGCTCAGAAATTGGTGTCTCATTTGAAACCCACGAGGACACTGGAGAAAAGGCTTACCTATAATATTTTGTGCAAATCCTCTGCCACCAACTCAAATGGCCCCATATATACCCTCAAAGGAGGGTCCCTATACGAGCCCCTTGCAGTGTGGATGGGATGCCAAGGAATTCTCCGATAAACGGTTACCAGTTATTCCTTTTAACGGCCAAGGGGAAATAAAGTTAAAATTAATGGAAAAATCTTGCCAAATTCTGGTAGCCACATACCAAAGCAATATTCTCTACTTTAAGCTCTGCTCACTCTGGAGCCTACAGATGGGATCCTGGGAAAATTGGCAGGAGCAGGCAAAGGGTGAGAATTCTTACCAGATTCAGCTTTCCTGGTCTCTGTGGTGCCTGTTCAAGAGGGGAAGGTGTAATACGTGTTGTCCCTTCCTTTCCAAATTCACTCTTATGAATTTGGTTTTGAGGCAGCTATTGGTTACTGATCCTTTTCTTTCCCAGGGACTGCTGGTGCCTTCTTGTGTGTCCTAAATCCTTCTTTCCTTTGGCAATCTTTAGGAGGTGGCTGTGGATCTTGGGAAAGTGGATTCTTTTGCACCATCTTTGGGGGCACCTCTTGCATTCATGGATTGTTCAGTATTGCCAGGGATATTTACTGTTTGTCCAGGCTGAAACTCGACAAGATATTGGAAAGGCTTTTCTTTCTTTTTATTGTTTTTAAAGTTGCTTTATGGTCAGAAGTTGGCCACATAGGAAGTTGGTATTCAGAGCCTGATAGTAACTTTCCTTAGGCCTTCTCACTAAGTAAAATTAAACTATGTACCTGGGGTTGTGAGTGGAAGATCAGGGGCATTCCAAAGGCAAACGACTCTAAATTTAGAACAAAGGAATCCTGTGATGTCTACATTAGTTGAAGGAAGATCTCCTCCTTGATATAAAAAAGCAAATTAAAGATAATGTAGTTGGATGAGTAGGTCAGCCCTCTTTTTGGAGGAATGAAAATCAACTTCTCTTGCCTTACAAATTCAGCTTTTAAAGAACAGAAAAAGCTCACCTATCCTTTTTACCAATCCCCAATCATCCCTTATTCATCTCAAAAGGCTTGTAGGTATTGTAAAATCCTAGATTTAGGAAACAGAAGTCCTTCTTAGAGGATCTCGCATTCTTTCTCTGTGCCTTTGAGATGTAAATGTTCTAAAGGTCTTCTCTAGGAACTTGTATCTAGGCCATCTCTTTGAAATGCACATTTCAGGGAGATAATTCTTGTCAGAAAGAAGAAGAAAAAAAGAAAGGCCGTTTGGAAACTAGGAACTAAAAAATAGTAAGTGTTGATGAACACTGGGTGATGTACAGACTTGCTGAATCTCTATATTGTACACCTGAAATTAATATAACACTGTATATTAATTATACTGTAATTAAAAATAACACTGTATATTAATTATACTGTAATCATGGCTCAGGTCATGATCTCATGGTTGGTGAGTCTGAGCCCTGCATTGGTCTCTGCACTGACAGTACAGAGCCTACTTGGGATTCTCTCTTCTTCTTTCTCTGCACCTAGGCTACTTGTGTTCACTCTCTCTCAAATAAATAATCTTACAAATTTTTTTAAAGTCTTAAATTTTCTCCTCAAATATTAGTAAAAAGTTTAAGCCATCTGAGCAGATAATCTTAATTTATTTCATTTGCCAGAAACACAATTTAGATCTGTGTGTTTGTCTTGTTTTGTTTAAAAAAAGGTGTTTTTTTAAATGTTTATTTATTTTTGAGAGAGACTGACAGAGCTTGAGCCAGTGAGGGGCAGAGAGAGAGGAGGACAGAATCAGAAGCAGGCTCCAGGTCATGATCTCGCGGTTCGTGGGTTCGAGCCCCGCGTCAGGCTCTGTGCTGACTGCCAGCTCAGAGCCTGGAGCCTGTTTCAGAGTCTGTATCTCCCTCTCTCTCTGACCCTCCCCTGCTCACGCTGTCTCTCTCTCTCTCTCCTAGAAATAAATAAAACATTAAAAAAAAAATTTAAAAAAAAAAAAAAAAAAAGAAGCAGGCTCCAGGCTCCAAGCTGTCAGCTCGAACTCACGAACCATGAAATCATGACCTGAGCTGAAGTCAGATGCTTAACCAATTGAGCCACCCATGTGCCTCTGTTTTTTTGTTTTTTTAATAAACTAGTGAGTTTTGAATTATCATACCTGCTTAAAGGTTAAAATTTAAAAACAAAAGCTATAAGATTTCTGTTTGTGTCCATCTATATGTATGTCTATGTATGTATGTATGTTAGGCTTTTTTTCTACCTCCTGATGGTATTGCCAAAATTAATTTGTAAAGGGCTCTATTTAATAGGCTTAAAGAATATTATTAAGCACTTATAGAAGTCAAGTATACTCTCTGAAACATAGAAACAAAACCAAATGTTTTTCAGGTTCACATGATCTAGGTTATCTTTGGTAGGCAAAGAATAATTTTAGGATGGTTGGTTTAACTAAAACAGGCATGTCTTCAGAATTATCAGCATTTATCATGTAGACATAAAACTCTTATTCTACTTACATGTACTAAAAATCACATAAGCTCCTGTCATCACTGTTACAGAATTTGTCAGCAAGAAGGGAAACCTGAGATGATGGTTAGCTGTTTACTATCTCATGAAATTTTCATGAGTGATCTAAACAATTGTTAAGAACAAATAAATTAAATAGATGTAAGTAAGAAAAAAATAGATATAAGATAAAAGTTTATAAATAAACTTTTCAACAATAATTATGCTTTATGATGTGTATACTTAAGAATAGTTTCCAAAATGTTTTTGGTAATCTGAAACTTTAAAGTTACACTGAGATAAATTAAATGATGGATAGTCATTGACTACATAGATCATTTCCAATTAACATAAAATTACGAAACATTAATTACTAAACATAGAATTATCTACTTTTGGTTTCCTTTGACAGAGGAACTAGAGATATTTGGCTCCATGTGTAAACATGTTTTGTACTACATTGAAAAACATACTATGAGGAAGAGATATACTTCTTGAAATTATGAAATTTATTTATAAATTTGCCAATCCACTGAATGCTAATGTAGCAGACAACCCATTATTGCTTGCTTCTTAGTTTTCACTAGGAGTTAGGGCTCTAGAGGTTAAGAAGTTTAATCAATTAAAATTATTGAGAAATAATAAGGGTGAAAGAAAACACTGTGTAAGAAAAGTAGGTAATAAAAGTAAATGCATTTTTTTGGATAAGGAAAGGTATGAAAGACATGCGGTTTTGTGTTTCTTCAAGTTTTTTTGGTAAGAAAAAAGAGAAAGTAACTTTTTCCTAAAGTAAAATGAATATTTTTTTCTGATAAAAGAAAGGAAAAATTAGTATAAAATCTGAATGGATATAAAAAGTTATAAAAGGTCTACAGAAAAGGAATCTTGGAAAAGGAATTCTATGGGTCAAGCTGGCTAGATTGGAATGGATTTAAATTAAAAAAATGAGTTTTTCTATTTAAAAAAAATTTTCTAATGTTTATTTTTGAGACAGAGAGAAACAGAACATGAGCAGGGGAGGGGCAGAAAGAGAGGAAGACACAGATTCCGAAGCAGACTCCAGGCTCCGAGCTGTCCACACAGAACCCTACCCGGGGCTTGAACCCACAGACTGAGAGATGATGACCTGCACCAAAGTTGGACGCTTAACCGACTGAACCACCCAGGTGCCACCAAAAAATGAGTTTTAATATCAAAAGTACACTACTGCAAGATTAGAATTTGGTTTTCTGTCTGTTAAATAAGAGAACAAAAGTTTTTTTTTGTTTTTTTAGATTTCTGGTCTGCTCTTAATAAGAAATTGTAAGCGAAGTTTTTGTTTTTTGTTTTTTTAATATAACCTTTTAAGTAGTTCTTGTGGAGAGTAAAGATTTTGTTTGTTACAAGAGTAGTTTAATGTGCTTTATGCTATCTTTATCAGGTCTTTATTTTATTTTACAATTTGTTTTTAAGTTTATTTATTTGAGAGAGAGTGTGTATACAGGCATGCACAGAAGCCCAGGAGAAGGGCAGAGAGAGAGGGTGAGAGAGAATCCTAAGCAGGGTCCGTGCTGTCAGCACAGAGCCTGATGTGGGGCTTGAACTCATGAACCATGAGATCATGACCTTAGCTGAAATCAAGAGTCAGACACTTAATTGACTGAACCACTCGGGTGCCCCCAGTGGGTCTTTAATTACTTAAGAAAAAGAACTACAGAGTTTGTTTGTTTGTTGTTTAGCCATGAAACTTGAAACTTGCTGTATTTGTCTTTTAAAGTCTTTAACTATTATTTTGGTTAGTTTTGGATAACTAAGTATTGTTGCACAGTGACCTATGATCCTATTTGACCAAGTGCTTTAAAATTTTTTGATATTTTTGGTAAACTTCCCCCATATCAAATTCTTCTTCTATTTTTTTTTTTTTTTAATGTTTATTGTGCTGTCAGAGCACAGCCTGATGTGGGGTGTGAACTCATGAACTGTGAGTTTATGACCTGAGCCAAAGTCAGACACTTAACCGACTGAGCCATCCAGGCACACCTGGATATAAATAAAATAAATATCCACCTCCAAATAAAATTATAAATGAAATCTTTTTGACTTTGAACAAAGTTTGGGATTTTTCAGAGGTACCTGAAACATCTCAAAAGATTCTTTCTCTTTCCTTATAAAAAGATAAATATTAAGCTAATCAGGTTCATTTGGTATGTTAAATTATATAAGAAGCATTGTCAAATAAGAAATGATGTTCTTAGGTTATACTGTATAGGTGTATGTTATCATCAGTGTTCCAGAAATTGTATAAAATTCCCAAGATTCTGATACGTCTGGTATAATGTTACCTGTCATAATTCCATTTATCATCTTAAATGTTATGCTTAACAACAATAAAAAAAAAAAACCAATTTCCCTGTCAATTCCTTATAATTACTTATCAAGTAATTACCTGTCAAGACAGAAGATCTGTCTTTCACGATAGGCATATTTAAGTCTTTTGTCATTTCCAGACAGTTATTGGTTTACTTTGATGCTTTTGCAGAAGTGAGATTCCTGGAAAGGACCCTAGGAGGTACCCTTGACCACTGACACTGCTGCCAAATTACATGATGTTGAACCTGGGTGCATATTTCATGACTGTAGAAGGCTCATCTGATACCTGGTCCTGGCTCAATGCCAGAGACCTCAAAATCAAATTGACTGTGCAGATTAGTAGCTGACATTGAAGTACACTGTTTCCTCCTAAGATGTTGGATAAAGAACCTTTCTCTCCATTCTTCTTTCTCCCTCTGACCATTCTTTTCCTAATTATTATACCATGAAGGTCTTTATGATTCTTTTGTCTACCTTTCACCTTGCGCCGGCCTAGAAAGAGAATGCTATCACTCACATATGTCAGGCCACTGCAAAGGAGGGTAATCAAACTCTCAATTTACTGTTGGGTTTGCTCTAATACTGGTGACCCTGTGGTTCTGTCCATCACAAACTTTCTCCTGATTTCTAATGCCTAGATTTCTCTAGAACAAGCTTGCTGGATAAACACTTCTGGGGGAACTGGAAACACAGTTACACAAGATACATTAACAGGCCAACGGGCTTAAAGAAGTATCCCCTCTTTAGGATCATCTCTTGATTTATTTGATTCTAGTTGGTTTGGTTCATGGGGACCCTGGTTCAGAAATGTCCTGCAAACCTTAGGAATACTTTTACTATTAATAATTATCTCCCTGGTTTATTGCTTCCTGGTATGTTATTCTCTCAAGGTTTTTAGATGACTGTGTGCAGCCATAAGCCAGCCAACAAATGGTCTCCCTCCAACTTGATTGTAAACCTGACATCATCTCCTCCTGTGAAATATATACTGACACCCAAGGAGACAACAGTAACTGAGAATAGCTTGCAACATCACCTTTGCTCACACCTCTTGGTTGGCCAGAGGTTGATCAAAGGGATGAGGAAGAGCTGCCAAATTGATCCCACATTAACCCTTCCTTGGTAGGCCAGGCATCACTGATCCTGGGAAACAACATCACCAAAAAAGAAACTTTTAGGTTCCATGTTCTTAAAAATGTTCCATCTCCCCAGAGGTAAGACCATCTAGTTAACCAATTAATAATCATCGAGTTATATGGGTGATTGCCCCATTCCTATGATACCTCAAATAAGGCCAGATTTGTAACCCTAGCTAAGCAGGTGGTTTTTTTTTTTTTTAAATATTTATTTTTGAGAGAGAGAGAGAGTGTGAACAAGAGAGGAGCAGAGAGTCAGAGGGACAGAGGATCTAAGGTAGGCTCTGTGTTGACAGCAGTGAGCCCTATGTGGGGCTCGAACCCACAAACCGTGAGATCATGACTTGAGCCAAAGTTGGATGCTCAACTGACTGAGTCACTCAGGTGCCCCGCTAATCAGGTATTTTTATTCCTTCTCTTCCTTGTTCCCTATTTATTATTCTGTAAAAGCTTCCTGCTTTCTGCCCCATTTTGCAATTCTCTGAACTCTTCCAAGTGCAGAGTGTCTGCTTTATGAAGTGCAAAATAAAGACAGCTTGTATCACCTCAAATGTCTTCTTTAATCATTTTAACCATTCAAATGGCACACATTCTGTACTCCCAGCACTTCTTCAGAACCCCTACATCCAGGAAGGAGTTTACTGAGTACCTCTTATAAAAGACACTATGTTAGGTTTGTTGGGGATACCAAAGTGACAAAGAAATACTTCCTTCAGATTTGAAATCACTCCTACTCTTTATTCCTTGCTCTTTCTTTATGGAGCCACTTTATGCCTCCAATATCTTTCAATCAAATGACCCAGCTGCATGTGAAGCCCACAGACAATGCACACAAGGCACTCTCAAGTCTCGGGTCCAGAGGCTGGCCATCATTGCCCAGGTGAACATGGACCCCTGGGTGAACATGTTCCTCCAGCCTGACTGTGGAAGTTGGACTTACGGTCACTGTATTCTCTAAACATTCATACTATGAGACGGCAGAAACAATTACATTTATCAAAAAAGGACTTACAACATATGACAAATGGAGAATTACAATATATAAAAAGTCTTCCTGTTATAAAATGTCTTTCCAGTTATCCATAGGCACACTGTTTCTAATCCCAACTTAGTTTTAGAGTTTGGTACACAAATGTGAGGTGCGTCTGAAGAGCTCTTCACCTGGTGTGTAACATGCTTGTTAACATCACCTGTTACTCTTCATGTCATTTCTGTCAGGTGATATGCAAGCCACCTGGGAACCTGGGCTCTTTACAAAAAGCTCCTGGGAAATCATTAACACTAGGGACCACACTTGGCTATCAGACCTATTTGCCATTAGCAGCAAAATGGAATATATTGGTCTTATCTCTGGTCTGAAAGCCTATCCCTTCCCTAAAAGGCAATTTCTCTGCATTTAGTTAAAAGGATTAAAGCAACACCATTAGCTTCCAGCAGTTCTACTTACATTGCACAGTGCAGTGGAGTAAAGGGATTACCGATAAATTTTCGAAAACATTTCTGCTCCAAAAGTACCTCTATACAGTTTTCATTACCTGCAAGGAACCAAAAGAATTTAGGGAGTTTCTAAGAAAGAAATTTTGTTCAACGCAACCTAATTTTTTCATTAAGTATTGAATTTGGCTTATGAATTCTCCTGAATTGGCTACATGTTCATTCTCCATGGAATAAAATTCACAAAATGCCAAAATGTTATTAACTATGCTCACAGGTGTTCTGAGACTTAATGAAACAGTGACTGCCATATGTTCTGGTGGAGAGAAACAGGTAAAGAAGAGACCTCATTTGCAAGTGGAATAGATTCTATGTCATCCTCGGCTCTTGATGGAAAGATGCCAGACATAGATATATATGCCTCAGTTTGCCTATATTTACAACAGGAAATTCTCCTTTCACCCATAGGAATAGGTTCACTACAATTATGCAGCCCAAATCAGGAAAGAAGATATGATTGATAGAATTTAGTATCTGAGATAATACAGGTGAAAAAGCTTTGACTATAAAATACTATATACGCATTTAAAATGGCACCAAGATTGGTTCCCAGCTAATAGTATGCACCCAATAAGTATTTTTTTTATAATAAGTAGAGGAATGAATGTAAGGAATGATTGTCAGCAAAATGACAAGTAGTTTCTAAATCAACTGACTTTGAGTTGAGTAAGGCCCTAGTTTTGTTGGCTTGTTACCTGACTTAGGCAACTCACTTGGAATCTGTGAGCCTCAGTTTCCTATATATAAAATATCAGACTAGTAATGCCTGTTCTCGCTACGTCACAGGATGATGGCTTTTTCAGTTGATAAAGGACCTATATGTGGTTTGCGAGGTGATGTACAATTGCTGGAGCAAGAAGGCAACATTATTTGGCTGTGGAATATAGATTGTTGTCCTGAAACTCTTTTTGGTTAAATTTAGTGCTAAATTCAAGTTCTTTTATGATCTACCTCCGAATTATGTAGATTTGTCTAATTTTATGTGTGAAAATACAAGTCAGACCTTTCTTGCACCTGTAGAGAGAAAAGGTGAAACGGTTTTTACGATGAAGAAGCAGATGAATGAATATAAAATCCCCTAACTCTATTCAGGTTATACTGTTTAGCTTTCCAACCATATCCAACCCTCACTCGAATGGTCCCAGACACGGTTGCAGTGCTGGGAAGAGGGGCTGCCCTCTATCAGTCTGACTCCCCACAAAGGACCTAGCTTAGGGCATCATCAACACCTACCATTCCTTGGAGACCATGCGAATCCCAAATTGAGATCTGTGTGGAGAGGACTGAGGACTGTCCAACTTTCAATATTCTAAGTGCTCAGTGGAGGGGATTCTGGGAAAATGGGAGCTTGAACCTTAGATTTGGAAGGCTGCACTGGCAAGGTGATTGCTCAGGAGAGGGCTGCCCCCCCTCCCCTGCTTGCACCTGGAGAGGCCCAAGAGCAGAGGCACCTGCCATCCCCGCCCCGTCCCACTCCAGGGGAGAGGCTGCGGTCTATAATCAGCACTCTTATGTCCTCCCCCTTCCTGTAGGCTTTCCAGTGCCAGAGAGATCTCACAGCTTGACTCAGACGGGGGATAGGGAGCTCTCATCCATTAGGAAGGAAGAAAAAATAATCACAATCCACCAATGGCAGGGAAGGAGTAAAACCAAGTCAAACAAGCAGCAAAATCTGGCTCTCACTGAAGTTAGAACCACTGAAAAAAGGAGAACTCTAATGAGACCATGATGAAAAGGTCTTAACACTGATATATCAGAGCACTCAAAAACATTTCTGGACCTAATAATCATAGTTTCTGAGTGGAAATTTCAATAGAAGAATTAAAAATGGAAAAATAGAATTATAGAAGCTGAGTAAGAAATATATAGGAAAATATCCACATATACTTAGGGGTGTAAGACCTGCTTAAGCAAGGCTGGAGACCTAGATGCAATAAAAGAAAAAGTTTGATAAGTTCAACCATTCAAAATTCAAAATACCTGCATGGAAAAAGATGTCATAAACAAGGAACAGACACAAATGGTAGACGGAGAGAAGTCATATGCACACATAACAAATGGAGAATTCGTATTTCTAACACAGGGTGCTTCTACAAACATTATGAGAAATGACAACTCAGTAGAGAAAGAGCAACAGATGAAAAAGGTAATGTCCAGAAGAGGAAAAGGAAATGCAATTACATAAATAAATACACTATCAGAGAAACACAAACTGAAATAATGAGATATCTGTTTCTTGCCCTTCAAACTGACAAAAATTAAAAAAAAAAAAAAGATGATACTGTCCTGAGCCGGCAAAAGCTTAAGAAAACAGTAAGTTTTCTATACACGTGTTCATGGAGTAATAAATCTTTATACTCTTTGTGCAAAGTATTATGGTATAATTTACTAAAATTAAAAGACATACATGCCCTCTTATCAACAATTTCACTTTTGGGAACATCTGATAGAACTCAAGTTACCATAATATGAACACACACACTGCAGCATTGTTTGTAATAGGAAAAAACCTGAAGGTGATCTGAATGTTCATCAATGAGGATCTGGTACCAATAAATAATAGATTCTGGTATATACACTCACACATGCCTGTATCTATCCAGCTATGTGCTATAAAATACACAACAATTAAAAAGATCAACTGTATATTGATACACATTGACTTGTAAGAGGATCTGCAATGGAAAGTTATGTAAATAGTAACCAAAAAAGTTATATAATGTTTGCGCCATGATTTTAGTTTTTAAAAATAGATGCATATACATTTGTATTCATTTACTATTATCAAGGGAAAATTATGAAATATACACCAAATTACATCAGAAAGTAAGTTCAGAAATGGAGACAATTTTACTTTAGGCACTTCAGTATTTTTGATATGTTACAATTAGTACGCATTTTCTTTTTTACTCGAATAAATGAAATGCAAATGTTAAAATCTCCCAAATAAGAAGTGCTACTAAATAAATAGGGGATAGAAGACAAAAAAAGAAATGTCCAAAAAATAAATCATGCATCTACTAGTAGTCAACTGTGACAGGTTATTATATATTTTTTTGTTTGGTTTTAGCTTTCTTGTTTTAATTCCTTGTAGGATTTTTGGTTATCTCATGTAAACCAGAATCCCTGATTAAAACTAGTTATTTCAGTTCATCAGAAGTTCTGAATAGAAAATACATGTTGGTGGTTAACAAAAAGGAGGAAAGTGGGGGTGCCTAGGTGTCTCATTCAGTTAAACATCTGATTTTGGCTCAGATCGTGATCTCATAGTTCATGAGTTCAAGCCCCGTGTCAGGCTCTGGGCTGACAGCTCAGAGCCTGGAGGCTGCTTCAGGTTCTGTGTCTCCCTCTCTCTCTGCCTCTCCCCCACTTGTGCTCTGTCTCTCTCAAAAGTAAAAAATAAACATTAAGCAATTTTTTTAATTAAAAAAAAAGGAGGAAAGTGAACTTTTACTGCATTAGGGCATCACGTAGCCACAAAGGGAAAAAAGGTTATCTTAGATACAGAAAGATCAGAAACCATGGTTTATAATGTTACGCTATGTTCTCACCTCCACTGAGACCACAGTGGTCCCAGGCAGGAAATCTACTGGAATCAGTCAAACAAAAATCAACTCACCATTGTAACAAGCCCAGTGCAGTGGCGTGTATCCTTGGTTATCTTTGAAAGAACAGTCCTCCTCGGAAAGTGCCATCTGGAGCAGCTCACTCAGCCACGTGGCATGGCCACGAGCAGCTGCATAGTGCAGGGGTGTCCTCCCTCTGGAATCTTTACAGAGAATCGACACTTCTTGTTCCAGCAGCATTTGCACACATTCCTCATGGCCTGTCATAATCTGATGCATTGCAATCAAAAACACAAAACACGTCTCAGAAGGGCAGAGATGCAGGGAGCAAAGCAGTGCTTGGTGAGGCAAGGCTCCGAGCAAGGGGACGTACACTTGGGCCTTCGGGCAAGCAGGCTCTGCCCTACTGCGGAGGAGGGAGACAGTGCAAGCCCAGCTAGACTCCTCACAGAAAAGTCTGTGGACACCAGTGTTTTAGAAACACCTCTGGCTCTCCAAACATAACCTGTTAGGGTATCATGCTATAGTGGGAAATATCAGCTTCAGATTCAGAGGGGTGCGAGTTAAATCTTGGCTCCCACTTATGAAACTTGGACAAATTAATCTGCCTTTCTGTGCCTCACTTTTCTGTGCCTCACCTGTAAGCAGGAACGGTAATCATGCCTCCGAGGTTGTTGTGAGGCCTCATGAGCTACATAAAGGCTCCCAGCCTGTTACGAGGCCCCCAGGAAGTATTAAAAAGATAAGCACTACGATTATGATATTAACCACTTCGAGTTCTTCTTCTTTCCATTTATCAGAATGTTCAGCACCGTTCCCAAATAGCAATTTTATAGTTTATTTTTGTGTCATTTAGTTTCTGTGACATGCTTTAAAAAAATTTCAGCAGATGTGTATGAAGAATTGTCTAAGGATACATATTTCAGCAGGACACATATTTCAGGTGGCACACTGTCACAGGATACATATTTTAGGTGCTGAATGGGCCAACATTTTTAATAAAGAACAATTAGACATAGCATGACTACTGAAAACTAGGTCATCACTAGAATAAATTATACCTCCTGCACAAAATGGCTCAGTCAGTTAAGTGTCCGACTCTTGATTTCAGCTCAGGTCATCGTCTCATGGGCCCTGTGTCACTCAGCATGTAGCCTACGTAAGATTCTCTCTCTCCCACCCTCTGTCCCTCTCCCTAAATAAAACCATTTAAACAAAGAAAAAGAAAAATATTTAGTGACATGGAAAAAAGTCCTTGATCTACGTAGAGAAAAAAAAAGCAGTTTCCAAATAATATCCTCAGTATTCTCTCTTTTTAAAATTCAAAACCACTTCACATTACAGCAAAAAAGACTGGGGATATATTTACCAAAAAGTGGTTATCTCCAGGAGGTAGAATTGCTGGTGATTGTGATTTTCTTCTTTAAGCTTTGCTTTTTTTTTTGCAAATTTTGTATGATGTGCATATAATCACAAAGTAGAACCAATTCTATCAACAGCAGGTGTTCATGTATCTATTATCACAATCTAACATGAAATCTGAAGAGCAGGATCTAAGAATACCTGCCACTATTTTACCTTTGCAAAAGATATTGTAATTTCTTTTCTTTTTGTTTTATAATCTCTACGCTCGATGTGGGGTTCCAATTCATGACCCTGAGATCAAGAGTTCCATCCTCTACTGACCGAGCCAGCCAAGTGCCCCTGTAATTTCGTTTTGACTGACTGAGGTTTATTAGTTATCTTAGAAAATAATCTTTTTACTAAAAATTCATATGGGGGAACAAAGAGGAAACAAGCTCACCACAAAATTGCTTTACTAAAGCCGAGGGAGATGTACATACCCCTCTGTGTAAAGCTGTGCAGCCCATGATGTCAACAGCATCCACATTTGCTTCCTTTTCAAGTAACAATGAAACAGCATCAATGTGTCCATACGCTACTGCAAGCATCAGTGGGGTTCTAGGGAGAGAAATAAATTAGGCTTTTAAAAAGAAGATGGGGGGGGAACCCCAAACTACATCACTTATAGAAGGAAGACCTCTCTCTTCCTTCTCTCTTTCTCCCTCTCCCCATAACCCGCTCTCAATCTCCATCTCTCTCTCTCTCCTTAACAATTGCTTAATATTTTCCGAGTGTCCCTAGTTTGCCGTATGCTCCATGGAACAAGCTATATGCTCCTCCTCTGGTCTCTATAAACCATGTGGAATGGTGTCAGCGGAATGATCAGTACAGGATTCCTTCGCATCATTTTCAACACTGTGTAGCCTTCACCAAATACTGAGTAGGGAGTGTGCGTACGGGGGAAACCATCTTGCTTCTAGCATTGCAGCTCTACTTTCACAGATTCCTATGTTGGACTTCTGCTCAAGATCAAAGTTTCATTGCCTTGAAGAAAAGTCTGACAAGTCTAGAGGAAAAAACAAAGTGCTGGGGTCCAGGAAGTGAGGTTCTAATTCGAACTCTGACACGGATTCATTTATCTGGGGTGAGCCACCAGTGCTTTGTTTTTTGCTCTGCATTTCCTATTTGTAAGAGAAGATAAGGTGGGGAAATAGGCTAACAGATGGAAAATACTTTGGAAAAATAAACTCAGAAAGGATAAAAATATGAAGAATTTTTTAATGATAGATATAACCCCTTGAGGTCTGTCCTATTGTCATTATTAATATAAAAAGTGAGAACGCAGCAGCTTCAGAGGAGTGTAAAAATGGATACAAAGAAGAAATAAATTAAAGAAAGGGCAGGACACCTGGCCACAAAAGTTAGCCCTTTTTCATGAAGATACACATCTCCCGGCCCCATACTTTTCTTGGATACATACTTTAGCACAAAGACCTTTCATTATTCTAGGACTCTCAACTATTAATTTCACCCACATATATAACCCAAACAAGAAGTCAGCAGTCAGCCCTCCTAGCTCTTTAAAGAATTAACCAATGACCTGTTGTGACTGAACTGTCAACCCCAGGCCAAGTTTAAGAACACTTACTGTCCTTTGGCGTCCTTCACGTCAATCGCTTCTGGGTTGTCTGCAATTTCTAGTAAGAGCCGCAAACACAGTGTGTGACCATTAATTACTGAAAAAGAAAATAATGGACATTCTTTTAACAGACCAGCACTACATGTATCCTTCCAAAGTGAAATTTGTCAAGACTTCAAATCAGTGGTTTTCAATTGCTGCTGACAGATGCCCCAGGTTTCCAGCTCATGCTAGCTGTTGGGCACATCCCGCTCCAATGTTTGTGTTACTAATCAATTCATCTTCCCTTTCTTTCCATTAGGGCACTTTGGTCCTCACCTAACTTTTCCCTGCATTGAGAGTGTACGCCTTATAAATGACAACTTTTCTTACCTCCTTGTATGGGAGAGACAACCTCTCTCCAATTTTCAGCCAGCTATCCTTTGCGTTCCTCTAAGAGAGCCACCCAATTCTATATAATCCTGTGTCCAACCTGCTTCTAGCCCTTTTGAAAAATAAGGAAGAAGGGAGAAGAGGGAGAACAGGGGAGAAGAATAGGATGAGAGGGGAGGAGGGAAAAGGGGAGCAGAGGAAGGGAGGAAGGGAGATGCAAACAGGTCCTGCCTCTTTTTCTCCCAGACTTCACATTTAGAGGTAGAAAAGAACAACCATTCTAATTGATTAGTAGTCACTTAAAACCTCAAACCAGAAAGGTGTACCCAGCCCTGGGGTCACTGCTCCTTGATTGACTAGAGGCTCCCAGGAGACTCAAGGATGTGCTCCCTGTGGCTGGAGGACAGCTCTGTCCCCGAGTTCCTTAAACTACAGCCCTAGGTTTATCCGCCTTCCAGGGTCTCCTTCACAGGCTCCCATGGCTGCCACCTGCCTGTCCCCTCGGCCCCTCTGTTCCAACTCTGGCTGATCTGCGGCTCCAGCGCCTGCCTTGCCCCTCCCTCTTCTCACCGCTGCCGACCAAATGTGGGCTGCCCATGGGGCCTTGACCTGCTGGGGGGAAATAACAAGATGGCTACTTTGGGGAGTGGTGGTGCCCCGGGGGTTGGGAAGCAAGCCTCCTGGGATGATAATCTGCTGGGCGAAGGTACTTTCCTCCAGTTTGTTGAATGGAATCCATGGCCTTACAAAAGATGTGGCTTTCCACTGAGGGAGTAGGATGAGAACAAATATGTTTAAAATTCTGAATGTGACCTCCTCTCCCCTCTGAACAATGAGAACACCATAAAACACATTGCCTTTACCGCGTTATGGCTGTGGAGAGAGAAGGGAATAGATGCAGCTTCGTTAGGTTGATAAAGGTTCTTCTAAGAGCTGCATTTTATAGTTCTTTTCATTGCATGCCAGTTGTGAGAGAATGCTAATTTAACAACGACATATTTTTCAGAGACAATGCATATTAGAATTAGCTTACGTTCATTGACACAACTCAAATTAACTACAGGAATAATGCCCACATTTTGCAGACCTCTGCATTCAGCTCATTCAGCAATATTCCATTTATGTATCTCAGGAGGAAATTTTGTGGACCGGAATACAGGCGAAATACTGCCATTGCTGTTGTTTTGGTTTTTTTGTTTTAAAAATTATATTAAATCTATTACTACTGGTAAAATACGCAAGAATTTAATATATAGCTTAGAAGGAAATGATCAGCAGAGAAATGATGACTACAGACAATGGGTTCTTGAAGGTGCAGGTACAGAATATTTTGATTGATTCCTCTTTCTATATCAATTTGCTATTCATTAAATACTCATAATCATAATAGTTTCAAAGATGTCTGATTTTTGGCTACACAGTAAAAGGCAATAAAATCGTCTAAGTTCACATCACTCACCCAGTATCCTGGAGAACAAACCAACTTCTACAGTGGTGCTTTTTTCTGGCAGGTGTAGGGTGGCATAGAAGGAGCCTTTTGAACTTAGCTAATAGCCCTCAGGTAATTATAATTCCCCTCTATTGTAAAAGTGTCGCCAAACTGGAAATCTCATTGGCTTCCCACACACTACATTTTCCCCAGTTGCCTTCGAGGAAAAAGATGCTAATATCTCCTTCAGCTGTGCCTGCCAACCCCAGCTTTGTCTCAGACTAGCTCAGTCTCTCCCTGGCTGTGAGTGACAGCCATTTTTCATACTGCTCAAAGGCCACAACTGTCAATGCAACGATCTGTGCCAAAACTCTAATATCCATCCTGGCTCCTGCCCCTCACAGTACTCCCAGGATTTGAAACAAAAACCAATTGGCCTCTCAAATGAGTTGGAAAAGATTCTGGAAGCACAAGCTAAAGCTTCTGCACAGCAGACATTTTGTGGAGAACAGAGTCAAATGACAGCCTGCATCTTTTTAGTGAATGACATGGGGGAAATCCAAAAGGAGTGAGTCATCTCGACCACAAGGGGGCTCCATTGGACCACAAGCTATATCACAGTGGCAAATGAGTGACAACGATTATCCTTCACTGTTTACCTGGTAACAAGGACAATTTTCCACAATCAAAATAGACCTTTTGTAATTGTCAGGAAGTACTGTAACATGGTAACTAAAGCAGGATGCTTGCTGTAATAATAGACAACTAATCTCTAAAAAGGAGAACTAAATTTGAATTTTGTAATAATACCAAGAATGCCTAGAATACCAAACTTTGCAATACTTTACAATATTACCAAGAATACCAAAAAGACTAAATGTGATGGGAAATTAGAATTTATAATTCATAACCATACTATCCATTACTAACGTCATGGCTAAAGATTTTTTCAGGAACAATCATTTCCAGAGAATTAAGTAACACCATGATTTTTCAATGTCCATGTTGCTTTTCTTCGGTGGTTTGGAAATTCAGGGATATACATAGAAATAGTGCCACAAGATCTAACATTTTTCCAAATAACAAGAATTAGAAAGTCTTTTGAAAAGCTGTCTCTACTCTTGATTTCTCAATCCACCCATTATTTCATGGTCTGAGTACGATAGTTATTTCTCTTTATAAGACAGTATCAGGGTACCTGGGTGGCTCAGTTTGTTAAGCATCTGATTCTTGATTTCAGCTCAGGTCATGATCTCATGGTTTGTGAAGTTAAGCCCTGTGTCAGTCTCTGTGTTCACACTGTAGAGCCTGCTTGGGATTCTCTCTCCTCCTCTCTCTGTTCCTCCACTGCTTGTTCTTGTGCGCGTGCATGTGGATGCATGTGCATTCTTTCTCTCTCCCTCTCTCTCTCAAAATAAATTAACAAACTTAAAAAATGACAATATCTACTAACCTGATCAAAGGCTGGTATCATTGAATTCCTGACCCCAAGGTCAGGAATTTGTCTTAGCTGAGCTAGAGATTCTTCCACATTACCTTCCTGTGTATATATCCAGAAATGTCTTGACAGAGTTTTATTTTATGTATATTGGAGAAAAAACTCAGAAAAGGCAAATTACTTACTTTTTTTGTATATATGCATATACATTTTAAGAGTCTCTTTTTTTATACCTGATGCATCAAGAATCAGAGCAAAAGCTAAGAAGCATCATTTAGACAGGCAGAATGATGTCTAAATTTTATGAAAAAGCCCTGAAATATTCATTTTGCACTTTAGAATGCTGTGTGATTTTGTCTATGTGACTCATTTGAAGATCACATTACACCTTGCCTCCTTTTTAGAAATTTTTGTGATAGCCATTGGCCAAAGTTCTGAACTCTCTTCTGAGAGTTCCAGAAAGAGTGCAGAGAGTGTTTAGGGCAGTATTTTTTAATATCATACTTTGTATGATACTATAATGCTGGATGTATGTCATCATGCATTTGTCCATACTCATAGAACATATAATGAGGGGACCCTATTGTTAACTATGGACTTGGATGATTATGATGGGTCAATGTAGGTAATCAATTGTAATAAGTGTACCACTCTGGTGAGGGATACTGATAATGGGGAAGGCTATGTGGGGAGAGACAGGAAGTACACAGAAAATCTCTGTATCTTCCTCTCAATTTTGCTGGGCACCTAAAACTGTTCTCTGAAAAAAGGGCATAAAACACTAGTCATCCTAGCCATAAAACACTAGTCATCTCCGAGTGGATAGTAGGTCAAAAGCATTTTGGAAGACTGTAGGCATATTTGATGTAGAAAGAAAACGGATACTTTACAAGTTAGGATGAAAGAAGATGCTGCCATCCTCTACTTGAATTCTTAAGTGGGCCATGAAACTAGGGAAACCAGACTCTTGACAAGACTCACCTGAGGCATGAAGTGGGGTTCTTTTGGTTACACTGTCTTTCACAAAGATGGATGCGCCCTGATTGATAAGTGCTTCCACACATTCTGTGTGTCCCTTAAAGGCAGCCAGGTCCAGCGCGGTGCGGCCTTTCTCATCCCTGATGTCCAGGTCCACCAGTGACTGCAGAAGGACTTCCAGGGCTTGGTGGTGCCCGTTGTAGGCCTGCAGAGAAGAAACCAATGACTCAAATCTTCACTCACCTCAAATCCCACAACGACCCACACGAGGGGCTAAGCCTCCCAGGTCACTGTTGGAGACCCCTCCAAAGAGCACAACGGAAAGATGCTTGGGATAATTATTGAAACAGGTACACCAGAGAGTCAGACTGAAAGATGATAATGCAAAACCCTCACTGGTACATATGAATTTCTTCATGTTCTTTCTTGTTTGTCAGATAATTTGCTCCAAAGGTACTAAATGTATTAATATAGTCTTATATTTATAGCTATCAATCTAATAATCTAATACAGACAAACAGCTGAATGAATTAGTATAATCTTCTATCAGTTGAGTCTTAAACATACTGACACAATCAGAATATTTTTTCAGGATATTTTTCTATTAAACCTGGAGGAAAAAGAAATCACGGACAACAGACTTGGTAATTCAACAGAAGCATACTGACCTGTTACAGTTCAAACTTTTAATTTCTTTTTTTTCTTTAATGTTTATTTTTGAGAAGGAGAGACAGAGTGCAAGAGGGGGAGGGGCAGAGAGAAGGAGACACAGAATCTGAGCAGGCTCCAGGCTCTAAGCTGTCAGCAGAGCTGGACACGGGGCTCAAACTCGTGAGCTGTGATAATCATGACCTGATCCAAAGTCGGACGCTTACTCAACTGAGTCACCCAGGCACCCCACCAACATTTTAATTTCTAAGTATGGGACCCTGGGCAAGTTTCTGAATTTCACTTAGAGTTTGCTTTTTCATCTATAAAATGAGAGCAATAAAAGCTGCCTCCTATGGAAAATGAAAGAGATAAAATCACACAGGCTTCCCTTCATATCTTGTACACAGTCGATGCTCCCTCCTTTCTCCTTTACTTCTCCCATTGATTATAATGAAAACCTAGACACAATTATGGAAATATATTTCACATACCAGCACCAAGTTCAGACCTATTATGAGGTCCTATGCCATGTTAGGTTAAGAAGCTTCACATTATTAAACCACAAAATTAAAAGACTGGGAGATAATTTTCATTAAGTCTAAAAGGTATAAAATTGTGTATGCACATACAAGGCAGAGGACATTGGAAATAAAAGAGAGAAGAGAGATAAGGATAGGAGGGAGGAAGATGGGGGACAAAGAAGTGAAGGAGATACAGGAACAATTTGCCTCCAAGGTCTTCAGCAGCCAGAGTCCCCTCTTATGTCAGCTGCACTTTATGTTTTCCCACTGCAGCAATGACCCAAGGCACAATGTATTTGAAAAAAGGCTTAGCTCAGACAAAAGATCAATATCTCTAATACACAAAAAGCTCTTACAAACCATTTTAAAACTTAGCAAGGTGTACAAAGGCCATGAAGAGACAGCTCCCAGAAAAAGAAACATGAAAAGCCAGTGAACATATGGAGAAAATATGTAAATTTTTTATGTTATTATCTTTTGACTACCAGCCTGACAATGATTAAGTTTGGTCATGTCCAGAGGCATCTGGGTGGCTTAGTCGGTTAAGCATCAGTCTCTTGATTGTGGCTCAGATTATGATCTCACCACCTGTGAGATCAAGCCCTATGCTAGGCTCTGTGCTGACAGTGTGGTGGCTTGGAATTCACTCTCTCCCTCTCTCTCTGCCCTTCCTTTGCTCTCTCTCTCTCCCAAAATAAATAAACTTAAAAAAAAGTTTGGTCATGTCCAGCATTCATTAAGACATGGTGAAAAAAGCAATCTATGCTCTGTTGCTGTACATATATATTTATAGACACACACACACACACACACACACACACACACACATCTATACACCAATCAAGGGGAAAACTTTATCCTGGCAATTTTACAGTCCAAAGTTTTGTTGAAATAGCTATCATGCCCTTTTCAGCTTGTTTTTCTGTACAAAAGATATATTTTTGCTTTCTTCATTCCTGATGAGATTTTTCTGTGATAACTTTACATTCATACATTGCCAGTTGTCGACCAGTGTTTCCCATTGTTATGCCTCCAGCAAAAAATAAACACGGTAACCAAGAGTCTGACATTTGTGGAGATTTGACAAAATCTATCAAACAATTTTTGAAAAACTGTAAGCTGCAGACAGTACATATAATATGACCTCACTTATATAAAAGGCTAATATATCCAGATATACACATATCTGTATCTATGTATACTTCTATATTTATAGAAAATCTTAGAAAAATACAAAAGAAACTGTTAATGCTGGCTACCTCTAGAAATGGGAAGTAATGAGCATATGGACTGATTTCATCTTACCTTTTTAAGGTAAGTCACTTGAATTGTGTTCCTAAGTATATATTCATAACAACACCACCAAAAACTCAATTTAAAAGGATAGAATTTAAGAGTACTTATAGGAATTGTCTTACTACTTTCTTTTTACATTATTTTTGTGAATGATTATGGCTATTATATGTTATGTATTAAACATATATATTACCTGTAATATGCAGTATAATAATTTATATGCTGATGAATCTCAAACTTATATCCCATTTCTAACTTCTTTTACTTCTAAACTTGTTTTTTAAGTTCACGTATGCATTTTTGAGAAAGAGAGAGAGAGCATGAGCAGGTCAAAGGTAAAGAGAGAGGAATAAAGAGAGAATCCCAAACAGGCTTTGCACTATAGGCACAGAGCCCCATGCGGGGCTTGAACTTATGAACCATGAGATCATGACCTATGCCTAAATCAAGATCAGAGACCGAATGAGCCAAACAGGCACCTCTTACTTCTAAACTTGTATATTCAACTGCCTATTGTTTTTTCCACTTGAATATATGCATCTCAAGCTTAACACACTGCAAACTAAATTCTTACTATCCATCCCCACGCTCGCTCCATCTGCAGCCTCCTCCATCTCAGCAAATGGCAACTCTCTGCTTCTAATTGCTCAGGTCCAAAACTTTGTAGCCATCTTTATCTTCCCTCTTAAGACCAGGGTTGTAGCCCTATACAAGGGCCCTGGGACACTGGCCCAAGTGTGTGTTGAAAAATCCTCTCCCTCCCTATCCCAGCTTTGCCATGCCCGGGAATGGGGATGTGTCTGCTGAGAAGAAGGGACACCTTTTGCTCAACACAGAGGTGTCATCAGGTTCTCAGGCACCTGGCAGGAAAACACCTACCCCCAACCCCCACACCCCTGTTCTAATTCACACAGAGGTGTCATGTGGCAACCCTAAATGCACGATTGTTTCTAAAGATCTATCCAGAATCTACCCAGTTCTCACTATAGGGCCATCCTCTTTGGCCAGGATTATGACAAATACTTTTTTGCCATCTTTGCCCCACTGCAATCTATTACTGACCCGGTCTCCAGATGAACTCTCTTAAAACCCAAGTTGGACATATTACTCCTTGATAAAAACTAGTCAATGGCTTCTTCCTTCCTTGATAATAAAATCCAAAACCTTCCATGACCATTCAGGCCCTTAGCATTAGTCCACCTTCTTCTTCTTTTTAAAAAATCTTTATTTATTTTTGAGAGAGAGAGAGAAGGAGAGAGAACAAGCATACTCATGTACAGGTATGGGAGGGCAAAAGAGGGAGACACAGAATCTGAAGCATATTCCAGGCTCTGAGCTGTCAGCACAGAGTCCAACGTGGGGCTCGAACCTAATCATGGTATCATGAGCTGAAGTTGAAATCTGACACTTAACCCACTGAGCTACCCAGGCACCCCAGGATTAGGCCTCCTTCTACCCTGATCTTCAGCATGCCCCCTCACTCACTCTGTTCAACCACACTAACCCCTCCCTCTCCCCCATGTTTAAATACAGCATTTCCTCCTCTGGGCTACCGCATTTGTACTCTTAAAAAAAATTTTTATGTGTTTATTATTTTTTAAGTATACTTATTTGAGAGAGAGACAGCATGTCCATAAGTGGGGGAGGAGCAGATAGAGGGAGAGAGAGGATCCCATGCAGGCTCTGCACTGACAGCAGCAGGGCCTGAGGCAGGGCTTGAACCCACAAAACATGAGATCACACCTTGAGTCAAAACCAAGAGTCAGACGCTCAACCCACTGAGACACCCAGATGCCCTTGTGCTTTTTTTTTTTTTAAGTTTATTTTTTTTTCTAGGAATCTCTGTACACAATGTGGGGCTCAAACTCATGACCTGGAGATCAAGAATTGCATGCTCCTCTGACTGAGCCAGCCAGGCACCCCGTATCTGTACTTTCTATTTCCTCTGTCTGGAAAGCTCCTCCCCCAAGGGTCACATGGTTCTCTTGGTAGTTCTGCTTCACATATCACCTTATCTGGACACTTTCCAGAGCCAAAACACAGCCCTCCACCCTCCACCTCAGCATACTATCAGAGGCTCTCCACCCCACTTATCCTGCTTTATTTATCTTTATAGCGCTTATTACCACTTGATATCTGATACTTATCCATTGATTTGTTTATTATCTGTGATTGAAGGCACTTTGTGTGTATTGCTCACTGCTGTATCCTAAATCATGCCTAGTGCATAGTACACACTCAACAATTATTTGATGAATAAATGAATTAATTTAATAGATGCCAATTTCATGTATTAGTATTAGTGGTAGGAATATATTTTTAGAATAGCAGCTATTTGCCTATGCAAACATTCTTTTTGCTGATGAAAAAACAGAACAGGCAATGTAAATTAATTTGTTCAAGATCACTTAGCTATTAAGTGACAAAGTTAGAATTTGAAACCCAAAGCCTATGACCACTCAAATCTATGCCTCTACCTGTAACGACACAAAGAGGTAAAGAACAAATATTAGATCAGAAATGCAGACCCCTTCTGTAGAAGGCTTAACACAGAGGTGAAGTGACTTGCACGGAACTCTGAGGCAAGAAGGTACACACTGGGGCTAACTTCTAGACTATTGTTCTTTTACTACACATACTGCCTTTCTTGAGACAGGGGAATAATCTCCTGTAGGTCCATGTTTGTGATCTGTGCTTGCTGTGCAAACCATAACTGCATAGGATTGTAAGCCTTTTA